GTGGTACACGCTTCCGAAATGTTGAAGAAGTGCGAGAATGGGTGGACGAATGGATTGCTTCGAAACAAACATCGTTTTATCGAGATGGTATCGCCCAGTTGCCAGAAAGATGGCAAAAAGTTGTAGAAAGTGATGGAAAATACTTTCATTGAAATAATTTAAATAAATTTTTTACAATAAATGCTTTTTCTCAGTATTTTTTGGGCGGAAACTAAGTTAAGGTCCTAATACTTATAAGAAATTTCATTCTAGTTAGTAATATATAATTTAATGTTATTCAGTCATGACGGAAAATATTAATACAAAATTTCAAAAGGCTCGAAAATTTACTTTGCTATTACCAAATCGGTTTTTTCTATTTCTTAATTATAATATTATTTCAATTTTAACAAAACTCAGGGAAAACTATGTACGTTCTAAAAGTACTATTTCGCGATTTTATACTCACTATTTCTCTCAAGATAAATGCTAAAAAAAGTGCATAAACAACATACCTCTGGGACCATATAGCCCCGGTACTTTCCAAATTTAACCTTATACCAAATTTCGTAATGAAATATTTAAAACAAAAAAAGTTACAAGGTTCTGAATTTAAGTCGTCCGCGCACGTAGCGAAGGTATTTTACTTCTTTAAAGTAACATTTTAATTTGAATTTCTCCGAGGCATACATATCCTCCACAGTAGTGAAAGAGTTAATTGATACGCACATTTCGCTCGGTGAAGTTAACGAATATCCTACGCAGGTAGGAAAGAGGGACTGAGAGATGCGAGGTAGTAGTTGAGGTGCGTTAATATCTCCTATCTATTTATCACTTCATTTCACTCGCCATGCATAAATCCGCATTATACGTCTGCACGGACCCGGACATTTAGTTCGCCGCCGTAGCGACTGGCCGCGTTAGCGAGAGCCGCGCTGAACAGGCATAATTACCAGCCATTAATACGACAACGACTAATCTCCCAGGCGTGTCGGCGTACGAGGAGAGTTTGCGGACGCGCCGGGAGAGACTGTGCGATCTCGTGGTGAATGAAGAGTCGAGTCTGACGCGGGAGCTCGCGGAGGAGGCGCGGCGCGCCGAGGACGCTCAATTCGAGGAGATGCGCGTAACAACGGAAGAGCTGCGGAAACAACAAGAGCAGGCGCGAAAGGCGTTGGTAGCCGCCAAACGGACGCAGCAGTACTTGGCGTCGTGTCAGACCGTCCAACAGAAGTACTCAAGAGGATGCACGATCAACGTGAAGCGAAGTAACGTGGCGCAGATCGCGGACAACGAGGCGAAGAGATCGGCGGAGAAGGAGCTGGAGGAACTGTGGCACCGAGCGATGCAGCGGCAACTCGAGACGGAGAGGCTCAAGGAGACGCGGGAGTCGACGAAACGAGCCTCGGCGCAGCGAGAAGTGGCCTGCACCTTGGCCAAGCAAGTGGCCGAGAAAAAGTCAGCGCTGGAGCAGGAGAGGAGACTGCTCCAGAAGAGCGAATTGGAGCAGCTGGAGCAGCTGCAGGAGGAATTGCGTCTCGCGGAGTCGCGGGATCTTCAACTGCGGCAGCAAAAGCGGGAACAGCTGAAGAGGGACATTGAGGAGGATATCTTGGTCGCGGGACAGCGACACGCAGAGCGCGCTCGCGAGGAAGCCGCGGCGAATCGTGCATCGGCCGAAGGGGAAATAATAAAGGAGAGGTTGACGAAGAACCCCGCGACCCTCCGAACGGAGTCGATGGCCTACGCCGGGTATCTGGAGGACCTGCGGCGGGACGAGGCCAGACGCGAGCGCGAGGTGGAGGCCGCCATTGAGCGTTCGCGCGAAGACGCCGAGGCCAGATGCGATCTCACACGCAGAAAACTCAAGGAAGCTCGCGAACGCAGCCTGCAGGAGGTCCTCCGCGGTCGGGAAGAGCAGGTGAGGGCCAGGCGGGACGCGGAGGCGGCGGAACGACGGCTGAAGATGCAAGAGAGGGAGGTGCTGGAAAGGCAGATCGAGAGCGACGCCAACTTGGCCGCGATGAAGCGGAGGGAGAGCAGACAAAAGGCGTATCGTTATGGGCTGGAGCTGAAGGAGCAGCAGGAGCAGCGGCGGCAGCGTCTCGGCGAAGAAGAGAGACGCCGCGAATTGGAGGAGGTGAAGAGGCAGACGGATGAGGAGGATAGGATGCGTCTCGTGCAGGAGACTTGGAGCGCTTCCGGAAAGATCACGCGGAATCCGCTTCGGGCCCCCTCCTGCTCTCCGTTCAAGGAACGCCACGCTGCTCATGCATCAGAAGGACATTGTTGTTGTCCTCAGGTTTTGAGTCCCGCGTAAATCAGCGTCGCCTAGTTGAGTTTCTCTAACCACGATGCTCCCGGACTTACTTTTCACTTTACGTGTCGATCGACGGACGCGTGGGAATCACTTTCGAGGGGCAATAGTAGGCGGTGAATGAATGCGTGATCGATTAGCGAATAGCTACTAATAAATCTATGAGGATGCGTGGTCGGAGATGAACGTCGAGATTGGACGGACGCTTGAAGATGGATGTTTGTAGGGACGATGGAGTAGCGTGAAAAATCTACTGCATCGAAATGCGACTTTGACCACAAAAGGGTGAAAATATTTTACATATGTCCGACCCCGTGAATGTGTGCGGCAATATAATTTATGTTCGTATCAGCGGAATGTATGTCAAATACGAAACATTGACAGAATTTAATAACGCGTATAACCCATAAAATTATGAATGATATCGTATAATATTTCACATCTTTCTGTTTCCCTTGTGTTTCCACAGCCATGCAAAATAACACGGTAGTATTTATGCGACGCTGACACGGTAGTCGGTGTTTTTAATTATTGCACACTTACAAATTAAAATATCGGGCTTAATGGGTGCGAATATATAGTTCAGTACTGTTTGTAATGCATATTTGCTTTCATTTCCACGATATGGATCAGAATCGCAGTGCCGAAGAGAAAAATGTCGCTCACGCGAATGCTGCGCTTGAGGGCGCGCGTGCGCGCGCGACTCTGCCGATCGAAAAAATACTCTCTCCTCCGTATAATTCGACCTACAGCTGGCGTACCAAAGCAGCAGCCTCTCAGCCGATTGCCTCCGTGCTCTCTGCTTCTACCATCCGTCGGATGCTGCGGGATCCAACGATGCTTAGCGATGCCGGTACGCGTTTATCGACGGCGGCATTTTGTCGCGGCGCGGCAACGGCGGCGGCGGCAACGGCTTAGGTTGCTATTATGCTGCTGCAACACGCGTATTTCGTATTAAAATTATATTTTCCGCCACAAAGAGGGAAAATTCGACCAACGCGACGCAAAGAAATTTGTCGCGGTCTAGTGAGCGCGCCTTCCGCCACCAGGCATCCCCTAATGATTCCATAGCGCATACACACACGCGCGCGCGCATTCATACACGTATATATATATGTGTGTGTGTGTGTATATCGCTCAGTTACGAGAGAAATTACGATGAAGGCTTAAGCGGATGCAATCTCCCGCGTTATGGAGTATTTTGCTGAGGCGCGACATAACGTATAACGCAGCCCCATTTCCCTCTCCTGTCTCCTCTTTTGATATTTCGAGAGAATGAAACGTACATTACATTAAAATGTGCCGCGCATTAAATCAAGATTTGCGCTGCAATTGTGTCGGTACGCGCTCGCGCAATCTATGCGACATATAGAGCGCGACCAGTTTATAAATCTTCATTAACTGCAGACAAGTGAGATCGCATTTTATCGGACGTGACGTTCCGAATGGAAAGCTAAGAGATATCCTCGCCACTAGCGAATATTTCTAATATAACTCGTGTCCTAGTCCGACTGATCGTGTTCAACGATAGATCAATGTCGTCCGACTGGAAACGACATGGGTACTGATTTTGCGGAGATAGTGGAATTGCTCCCGAGCGGATTTTGCTCTCTGCTGATTATTTTCAATTCTACTAATCTCGTCTGTTACATCCTGAAAATATCCGAGATATATATCAAACTCTTTTATTCAACTTTTCAATTGACTCTTTTCATAACGTTGACATATAAAACAACTCTTTTTGCCACATACATTATATTATGTAATATTTTTCGCACTAGATTTTTTAATTTTGATGCAAACCGACCTTTATTATTACCTTTATTTCGCAGTGATGCAATTTTTAAGTCGCAAGAAAATTTCTTTTCTTTATACATATTTAGTTTATCTACTTTAAAATGTAGAAATCAGTGATTTTCTGGTATATTTAGTTTGTTGAACGTCTTTTTGGAAAATAAAAACGTCGTATTACTTCTTATTGTACTTAACTGAAGACAAATGGCATAAAAGGAGAAGATATGTTATGTAATATTTTTCGCACTAGATTTTTTAATTTTGATGCAAACCGACCTTTATTATTACCTTTATTTCGCAGTGATGCAATTTTTAAGTCGCAAGAAAATTTCTTTTCTTTATACATATTTAGTTTATCTACTTTAAAATGTAGAAATCAGTAATTTTCTAGTATATTTAGTTTGTTGTACGTCTCTTTGGAAAATAAAAACGTATTACTTCTTATCATATTGTACCTAACTGAAGACAAATGGTGTAAAAGGAGAAGAATCATTAACCTTAATGAGTTTTTATATAAAAGTGTATTACTTAAATAAAGAAACTTATCTTAGAAGACATTTATATTAATAGTATTTTCATATATAAAAATTAAATTAAGTTTAGAATTAAATAAACAATTATGTAACTTGTCCCCTATAGAATATATTGAATCTCGTATGACCGTCCTAAATATGACTGCACATAATGAAGAAATTTATTTTCGGATCTTGCGCAAAAAAATTCACAACACAGGAGAGATATTATACGTGAAAAGTTACCCGTAAACTAATATAATTAAAAAAAAAACATTATTTTCCATAAACCAAATGTGATATAGTGAAGAGATAAAGACGCGGAATGCGTCAGCGAAGCGAAGCAGCGACGGTTCGCGATAAAATCTGCAAATTTCTACGTCTAACTTTTCATACTGAAGAGACACTCGACCTGCTTTGCCAATTTGTTACCCCCGCGATTTCTCTCCACTCACTCGATCGATTACGCGCGGACGAGCCACGGTTTGCGCAAAGCTCCCCCACTTAGACACGTCTAAGGAGGAATCGCGTATCGCCGTTCCGGCATGGCGATATCTCTTTTTCAGCGCGATTTCACCCGCCGTGGAGTACACTGGTCGATTTTTTCCCTCGCATCGTCGAGCATGGGCGCTGCTCGTTTCGTGTCGAGTCGCGTTCCCCAACGAACGAGCCCGATCGTGCGTGGCTGCTTGCCTGCCGGCGTGCGAGCGTGCGTGCGTGCGTGCGTGCGTGCGTGCGTGCGTGCGTGGGTGGGTGCGTGTATGAATACGCACGTCAGTTTAATACCATAGACGACCAGCTACGTCTGGTGATTGATCGAACGCCGGCTAGACAGCGGCAGTTTGTCTCGAAATTCACCCCGAAGGTTAAGGGGTGAGCGCTTGGAGAGCGCCTACTGATTGACTCGGAGTCTCTCTCGAGCAAGGTCGAGTCAAGTCGCGACGGTGACGGCGGCCGTTCAGATCGGGTCGGCTCAGGCCGCAGGCGATGCCGACGAGAGCCGTGTTACGGGGATTTTTCCCCTTCCCAACGAATTATTTCACTCGGTTGCCCCAAGACAGCCGCACCTGCGCGCGTATGCGGCGATTATCGGTGGACAGGGCCGCGTTCTCGAGGACCGGGACAAAGGCGAGGCGAAAGGAAGAAGAGACGACGACGACGAAGACGAGAGAACGACGATGCTAGGGAGAGACCCGAGGGGTGGCTGGCGGAGAGCCGAGAGCCAGAAGACAGAAGGACGGAAGGAGAAGCGAGAGCCAGTCGGAGAAACGATGAGAGAGAGAGAGAGAGAGAGAGAGAGAGAGAGAGAGAGAGAGAGAGAGAGAGAGAGAGAGAGAGAG